CCCCCCCCCACCACCTTCAGCCTACCCCTCCACCACTTATCACCAATTCCCCCACTATCTACGCACACAATGTGTCCCGGTGCCGACTCGGAGCCCAATGGGCAAGTTAACGGCGCCAACGGTGCCAATGGCGGTACGATTCCATCCCGGAGATGTTATATACGTCGCTTGCTAACTTTTGATCATTCCATAGCTGACCATGAAGGCTTCACTGGTATCGAGACCCGCCAAAACCCTCACCCCTCCGCTTCCCGCAACCCTTACGGCCACAACGTCGGTGTGACCGACTTCCTGAGCAATGTCTCCCGTTTCAAGATCATCGAGAGTACTCTGCGTGAGGGCGAGCAGTTCGCCAACGCTTTCTTCGATACCGAGAAGAAGATTGAGATTGCCAAGGCCCTCGACGACTTTGGTGTTGACTACGTGAGTCATCAATAAAGGATCACGGCCGAAACCAGCATTTTGCAATGTAAAACTAATCAAGGTCATGACAATAGATTGAGCTTACCAGCCCTTGTGCTTCCGAGCAGTCTCGTGCCGACTGCGAGGCTATCTGCAAGCTTGGTCTGAAGGCCAAGGTACGTCTCCAACGCCAATGTGGCGAATATCGCGTGGAATTGCTCGACTAGGCGGCTTCTAACAGTCTCATAGATTCTTACTCACATTCGCTGCCACATGGATGATGCCCGTGTTGCTGTCGAGACCGGTGTCGACGGAGTGTGAGTCACCCCGCGTCTACTTTTCTTTTTGTGGCTTTCCCCAAAAATTTCCGATTTGGTCCTAACTCTTGTGCTACAGCGATGTCGTCATTGGTACCTCGTCCTACCTCCGTGAGCACTCCCACGGCAAGGACATGACCTACATCAAGAACACCGCCATTGAAGTTATCGAGTTCGTCAAGTCCAAGGGCATTGAGATCCGTTTCTCCAGCGAGGATTCTTTCCGATCTGACCTGGTCGACCTGCTCTCCATCTACTCTGCTGTCGACAAGGTCGGTGTCCAGCGTGTCGGTATCGCCGATACTGTCGGCTGCGCTTCTCCCCGTCAGGTCTACGAGCTCGTCCGTGTGCTCCGTGGTGTTGTCGGCTGTGATATCGAGACCCACTTCCACAACGACACTGGCTGTGCCATTGCTAACGCCTACTGTGCCCTCGAGGCCGGTGCCACTCACATCGATACCTCCGTCCTCGGCATCGGTGAGCGCAACGGTATCACCCCCCTTGGTGGTCTGATGGCCCGCATGATGGTCGCCGACCCCGAATACGTCAAGGGCAAGTATAAGCTGGAGAAGCTCAAGGACATTGAGGACCTCGTCGCCGAGGCTGTCCAGGTCAACATTCCCTTCAACAACTACATCACCGGTTTCTGTGCCTTCACCCACAAGGCTGGTATTCACGCCAAGGCCATCCTCAACAACCCCAGCACCTACGAGATCATCAACCCTGCCGACTTCGGTATGACTCGTTACGTCCACTTCGCCTCGCGTCTGACTGGCTGGAACGCGATCAAGTCGCGTTGCCAACAGCTCAAGATCGACCTGACCGATGCCCAGGCCAAGGAGTGCACTGCTAAGATCAAGGCTCTGGCTGACATTCGCCCCATTGCCGTCGATGACGCCGATTCCATTATCCGCGCCTATGCCCGCAACCTCAAGCTGGGTGAGGACAAGCCTTTGATGGATCTGACTGCCGAGGAGCAGGCCCAATTTGCGGCCAAGGAGAAGGAGATTGCTCTCGAGGCTGAGAAGAACGGAATCGCTGTCTAAGCGGCGCCTATTATCTCTGTTCAATAAGCGTGCGTTCTTTTGTTCGCTCAAAATATCTACGCGTCTCGACTTGCGGCATACCCCGCTAGGCAGACTCGACCAGAGGAATCTCTGATGATGTGATGTGATTTATGCGTTTGGGACTTTTCCTTATTTTTTCCTTTGTTCTGTGTGGTTTTGGAAAAGTCTTTTTTCTCTTTTTTTTCCGATCTGGAATTCGTTCAAAGAAAAAGAACGACTGGACTAGTGGTGTTTGGAGAGTCCTGTACCAATGTATATAAGCGCCAGGCCTGATATGGCTGTAGCAATTCCAACAAACTTGATCTAAAAACAGAATTTATCCCAAAGCCTCGTATTGTAATAGGTATCGAACACGCCGTCTCGAGACTTGATAGTGTTAACCGACATATTATATTGGCCCATACGCAGAACATCATTGCCTCCCTAAGGTATCCATTCTTCATGTGGCAATTTTGTAGGTGCAGGCTTCTCCCAACCTCGGCACGGGCGCTAGACTGGGTCCGGCCAACGGGGTCCCGCGGACGCCGGTGCTTAACGTCCATCTCTCCGCCAAGTTTCCCGGAACTCGTCAGCATCATTACCTCCTAGAGACATATCACTAGGGCCATCATGAGTTCCTCGGCGCTCCCTGTCGCCCTGAAGAACAAGCTGGTGGGCTACGGCCGGGCCTCCAGCGCCCATCTATCGGCCGTGAATTTGGATCTGTAAGACTGGCTGGCCTAGGCGCTCATCCATCAATGGGACCTGGGACCTGGGACCTGCCCACTCCCCACGAGCCCCAAAAGCGACGATCGCCCGCTGACTACCTTACTTCACTATCGATTATAGGATCCGTAATATCGTATTTATCCTCTTCCTGTTCCGGTACACTCGCAAGACCTTCTACTCCCTCCGAGGATACGGCTTGTTTGGCAGCATCCGCAATGTCTACATCGCCGCCCGTCTGTTCTGTTACTCCCTCTTCCTGCGCGCCCCCGGTGTGCGCGGCCAGGTCGATAAGCAAGTCTCGACGGCGATCGAAAAACTCGAGACCAAGCTCGTGCAAAATGGGCCTGACATCAATCGGTATCTCACCCTGCCCGCGGAGGGTTGGTCTGCTGATAAGGTTCGCGAGGAGCTAAATAAGCTCGCTGGCTTGGAGCATACTCGCTGGGAGGATGGTCGCGTCAGTGGTGCGGTTTATCACGGCGGAGATGATTTGTTGAAATTGCAGGCGGAGGCCTTTGGACAGTTTGGTGTCGCGAACCCGATTCATCCAGATGTTTTCCCTGGTGTTCGGAAGATGGAGGCTGAGGTGGTTGCTATGGTATGAGGTTTATAATGAGCTACTTTTATGGACTTAACCGCTGACAACGACTGCAGGTTCTGAACATGTTCAATGCTCCTACGGATGGTGCTGGTGTTACTACCAGCGGTGGTACCGAGTCCATCATTATGGCTTGCTTGGGCGCCCGCCAAAAGGCATTCTTGGAGCGCGGAGTGACGGAGCCTGAGATGTAAGCTTGAATACGCTGTCAATTTCCAAAACTTGTATTTGCTAACAAGTCATAGGATTATCCCTGATACCGCTCACGCGGCCTTCATCAAGGCTTGCAACTACTTCAAGATCAAGCTGCACCGCGTACCTTGCCCCGAGCCCGAGTTCAAGGTCGATGTCAATGCCGTTCGTCGTCTGATTAACCCGAACACTGTCCTGCTCGTGGGCTCGGCACCCAACTTCCCCCACGGTATCGTTGATGACATTCCCGCCCTGTCGCGCCTTGCCACAAAGTATAAGATTCCTCTTCACGTGGATTGCTGTCTGGGATCTTTCGTCATTGCCCACCTGAAGAAGGCCGGCTTCCCCTCACCGTACGAAGAGGAGGGTGGCTTCGATTTCCGCCAGCCCGGTGTTACCAGTATTAGTGTGGACACCCACAAGTACGGATTCGCCCCTAAAGGCAACTCAGTCCTGTTGTACCGCAACAAGGCTTACCGCAGCAACCAATACTTCATTTACCCCGACTGGTCTGGCGGTGTTTATGCCTCTCCCTCTATTGCCGGTTCGCGCCCCGGTGCCCTGATCGCCGGCTGCTGGGCTAGCTTGATGAACGTGGGTGAAGCTGGTTACATCAACAGCTGTACCGAGATTATCAACGCTGCTCGCAAATTCGACTCTGCCGTCCGCGGACACCCCTTGATCTCTCTCCATATGGAGGTCGTGGGTAACCCGATGGTCAGCGTTGTCGCGTTCCGCAGCAAGAACGGTGCTATTGATACCTACGATATTGCTGATGACCTGTCTGCCAAGGGCTGGCACCTCAATGCCCTCCAGTCACCACCAGCTCTGCATTGCGCCTTTACTCTTCCCACCTCCAAGGCCGTCGACCAGCTCATCAGCGATGTGGTCGAATGCATTGAGAAGGAGCTCGAGAAGGCCGAGGAGCGCCGCCGTCAAGGAAAGGCATACATCCTGGAACGCGGTGAAACCTCCGCTCTGTATGGTGTTGCCGGCAGCATCCCGGATAAGAGCATCGTCAGCCGTCTGGCCGAGGGCTTCCTCGATACCCTGTACAAAGCCTAAGTCTCCCTGCCAGAACAGAAGACCTTCGCCTGATGAACATCACACCCCAAGCGACTGCCCTTCCCTAGCTTTTCCCATTCCCCACTAGCTGGCCTCGCCTTGCACAGGTTACAGCGGCGTTTGCGGCGTGTTTGCCCTTGTCTTTACATTCTTGTCCACCCACTGGTAGAATTGGTCCAGCGTCGTCTATCATTACCCTCCTTACAATTCAAATTGCACATATTTGCCTCGGCCAACTCTTTCGAAAAAGTAAATTTGTAATGGCGCCCCATAGAATACAGTCGACGAATGCGAGAATGACCCGTCGGAACATAGGTGGACGTAGATATAGAGTAATGACATAAAAGAAGCCCGCTCCATGCAAAAAAAAAGAGTAATCATACAGAACACAGAACAGAAAACAAGGGTCAAGAGTAAACAGCCCTTACGGCAGAACCCGGTATCAAAGACCACACCCAACCACAACAAGGAAGAGCATTATGCAAACGGACAAACCGAGAAAGCGAAAAGAAAAGAAGAAAGAAGACAATCGATCAATTTCGATCTTTTACTGCCCACTCAACTCAGCTCGCTCAGCAAAACCACTCTTCTCAACATAATAACCCGGATCGGGTTTCCGCTCCAAGCGAACCTCCTGCATTGTAAGAGCACGATCCACCTCTTCGACGGAGACAAGCTCTTTGACCTTCATGATTTGACCGGCAACGGACGGAGAGACGCGGTGGAAGACGATGCCCATACGCTTCTTCAGGCCCAGGGCTTTGAGGACATCTGTTGAGCGGCGGGGGAGACCGATTGCGGAGCGGAGGAGTTGGACACGGAAGTAGCTCATTTTGAAGGATTTGAGGAGGATTGGAGATTGTGGTTGGCTTTTGGCGGCGTTTGGATGTGACCGTTGCGGAGCTTGGTTGTAGAGATTGAGATTAAGTCCTTTGGTCCGGGGGATGTTGGAGAGAGCACAAGTGGTGTATGTGGGGCAATGGCAATTCCAGATAGGAATTGATTGTGATTGAGACTTTCACAGAGGAAGATTGACGGGATCCCTGTGTTGAAGACTGACCAAGTCTAAATGAGTCCGCCCGACGGAGTATGCGCGATGGCATCGCAAAATCAGGAGCGGTGTGTCACGTGGATCCACATTCTGCCAGCATCATCAACGGGGCGACAGCTCCGCAGCTCAGGAACGCGGGTGGACCCCTTCGATTGCAGCTCACGCCGATGCAGTGTGGTGCCTGGCCATGACCATTCACTTGGCTTGAAGAGTTGTCATATTCTCACGATTATCTCCGGACTTCTCGTCTTACTCCCGCACGCCGAGCCCCTCCTTAGCACCCCCACAGTCGAGCTAGCTTGCCGCCTTACTCCCGAGTCTCGACGTTAAACAACGACGGCCGTCTCTTGGCCGATAAGGCACAGTCGACATGGCGCAAAATGCAAGCGCCGATGGCACGGTATCAATGCCGAAATTGGAGGACATCCTGCGCCATCCGGAAGACCTTGACAAGATTAGTGGCCTGAAAGCCGAGTATCAGCGCAAGAAAGCCGCCGTTGACTCGCGACTCCGTGAGGGCCTTCGTGAGCAGCTCGAGGCTGTGCAGCGGAGTATCGGAATATTGACCGAGGGTCAACGACAAGTTTCCAAGACCCGCGATGAACTACAAGCAATCGATAAGCTATGCGCCGAATCACAGGAAAGCGTGGAGGACTTTGCTCAGATCGACAACTTGGCCCGGATTCAACGGAATTTTGATGCTACGTTAATGATGAAGAAGGGGTTGGAGAACTTTGGTGCGGATCTCCAAGAGGTAGAGGAATTGCTGAAGGAAGATGACGATGATCTGGAGAATCAGCCGAATCTGTTAAAGGCTCATATGCAGATCTCCCGTCTACGTGATTTCCGCGACGAGGCGATGGACCAGATTCAGAAGTCGCAAGATTCAAGCAGTGAGGAGACCCTGACGGAATATTTCGAGGGACTAGATTCGGCTATTGACTGGTTCGACGACCATCTCGGTACCGCTTGCATGAACCTGATTCCATTGGTCCAGGAAGACAACAGGAGCATGGTGGTTCGATTGGCGGTGGTCGTCATGAACGAGGAGAAGAATGATGATACCGTCAAGGCATTGCAGGAAGCGCAAAAGGACCACAAGGACCTAGCAAGCCGCTTCAAATCTATGAACATTGGGCCCAAGACCGTTCGAGGCTACAAAGAGAAATTTCTCAAAGCAATCGAATTCTATGCGCAGAACCAGTTCAACGCCACCAAGGACGAGTTCCTCGAAAATCCAGATCACTTGGAGAAGAGCTTTCGATGGTACTTCAACGATCTCTTTACAGTCCAACAGGGTATGCAACCCCTCATGCCGAAAAAGTGGAAAATCTACAAAACATACACCGATATCTATCACCGCCTAATGCACGATTTCCTCATTGAGTCCATCGACGATCCCGAAATCCCCGCGGACAACCTGCTCCAGATTATCCACTGGAGCGACAAGTACTACAAGAAGATGAAGAAGCTGGGCTGGAACCCCGCCGAACTCCAACCCAATATCCTGGACGATCGTGAACCAGAGCTGGTGCGGCAGTGGCAGAGTGTGATTATCAATGCTGTCGAGGAATGGATGGATCGCATCTTCGACACGGACAAGAAGGCTCTCGTGGAGCGACAAGCGGATGCCCTGGACACGAATGCCGATGGTTACTTCCGGACCAAGATGCAGGCAGACATGTGGCGTATGCTTCATGAACAAATCATGGCAGCTGGACAATCTGAAAGAGCTGACGTCGTTGAGGGTGTCATCGATGCTATGTTCCGGGCTCTGAAGAGCCGACAGAGTGCCTGGCAGGCACTCCTCGATGACGAGTGCAACAAGGCCAAGGCACCCAACGGCGATAACGAGGGAGTGCAGTTGCTGCAAGACTGGTTGGTCGGTGTGGCCAATGACCAGATTGCTTGCATCGACGACAACGAGGAGACCGGTCAGATGGGCTACTTGACCCGATTCAAGGCCGACATCGAGCCCGTCGTGACGGCGAAATACATGGCGACCCGGGCCGCATCCGAGCTGGACGCTCTAAGAGACGGATATGTCGATCTGAGCACGCACTGTCTGGCACTATTTGTGGACCTTATTTTCACGGTCGACCTCAGCTCAGTCCTCACAGATCTCTTCACGCCTCGCTGGTACGGCGAGTTTGCCATCAAGCGCATTACCACCACATTCGAGGATTACATGGCCGACTACAGCCCAGTTCTACATCCCTCTCTCGTCGATATTCTAGTCGAAGAACTCTCAGACGAACTGTTGGTACGATATCTCTCATCAGTCCGCAACAAGGGCGTCAAGTTCCGCCGTCAAGTGGATCCCTTTACGGACAAATTCAAAGACGACGTCCTCACCGTCTTTGATTTCTTCCAAAAATACCCGGACTCCTTCCAGTCTACTATCAAGCAGAAGTGGCGCTTGGTTGACTGGCTTGTCCGCTTGCTTGAAGCCGAGAAGGGTCAGGCTCTTGTGAACGTCTTTGAATCGTTCAAGAACGAATACTGGGATCTACAGCTGTCTTGGGTCGAAGCTGTCCTTCGAACTCGAGATGACTTTGAGCGCAGTATGATTAGCTCTATTAAAGCTAAGGCGGCTGAGTTATCCGTTGAGCGAGGCACGGAAACTATTATGAGCCGTGTGAGGTGATCGACTTGGGCTTGATTATCTGGTATAGCTTGGCTACTATAAGGTTTGCCCACCTTGTATAACCAATGATCTCCATCGCGAGATTTTACATCGCCAGTGACACGCCACCAGCATAAGAGGGCTGCTCACAATAAGACCTTTCGCACATCCTTATCTCGCTTCTGGAAGAGGTGGCTGTAGCGATGCCGTTGGACATCCGAGAACATTTGGTCTTGCATCGTGGTATTTGAGAAACTCACGTTGCGAAAATGGTTCGAATACTGGAGTTGAGCGAGCTAGTCGCTCGACCTGCATCAGCACACGATTGCTCTTTGGAAATTTAGAGTCCAAGCTGGCTTGGAATAGATTACCCCTTTGTTGCCCCCTCTTATGACCGACCTAGCAAGCAATTACTGTCATGATCTTGAAATGAAATTAACATCTCTTTCAAGACAAGCGTGTTATGTAGACTTTCTGAACCTGAACCATCCGTAAGACATTCAGATAAGATATCCACCTCCATCTAAACTCTCATCGCCATATCTCCCTGAAGAAGGCGAACGCGATCGCGGGCGGGAATCAAAACTCCGCTCAGCGATCACAGTGTATTCCTCGCCCAGACGTGCATTCAACCCCTGGTCCCCAGGACCACCGGCCTCGAGCTTTTTAGCGCCCATTTCGCAAATGCTGACCGAGTTGATGGGGATATCCTTCGCCCAGACAAAAGGATACCTGCAATGAGAAGACGCAGAGCTCTCAGGATCGGACTGGACCTCATCACCCTTCGAACCTCCAGAGTCGGGAAGTGAGGAGCTCTCCGTTGAAGACCTGGGTGGACAACCAGTGTCAACGCGTGCTACCCTTTGCGTCTCATCAACATAGTAATTCCGGTATCTAGCCAGAAGCCCACGTGCATCAATCTCAAACCTCTTCGGGCCATTCCTCCCATTCTTGCCATTATTCCCAGGCCCGAAGTTCCGTCGACCGCGGACGTAGATAGTATTCACGAGCGTGGCATGTAAAAGAAGAGGCCGTGGCTTCGGCTTGCGAGCAAGAGCAGCAGCATAAGGGTCTAGTATCTCCGGAGCACTGACGCTCTCAACTTGAGGGGGAAGTGGTGTTAGCTCTTCAAGAAGAGGGTTATCATCGCAGTTTAGGTCCTTGCATTGAGAAGCTTGCACTTCCTCCACGGCCTTCGGGTCCTTTTTCTCTGCAGGTAGTCCGTTTTTGGACTCGCTGAGAGTGAATCCTGCTTCTAGGAACTTATCTCGTAGCATCACACAGAATGGGTATAACCGGCCCGTTGGGTCACTTGGAGAAGCATGCAAAACCGTTGCAGCTTTGGCCCGTGGTAAAGCATGCAAAGACTCCAAGGAAACGGACAGTGGCGGAGGGGTCTTTTCCAATTCTAATGGCAAGTTAGATGATAAAGAAGTTGTTTCTGCATTATTTGGCGCTGTATTTGATGAGGTCCGCCTCGAGACGCGCTTTTGACGTAATTCAAAGGCTACTCGCTCCGCTTCCCTCAGCAAGCTCGCCAGGTCGAGGGTTTGAAAGAAAGCCAGTGCCTCTGCAAGGCGCTCCTTTGTTGGGAGGCTCATGACCCCGAGGGTCAGATGGATTGTTCCAACGGGTCGCACTGCACCTTGCGGGATAACTGCGTGTGAGGCATCTCCCTCCGATGTCTGGGGCTGGCGTTTTGATAAGTCTGCAACTGGAACTGGCGGATAGGCTGCTGCAAAGGCGGCAATTGACGCCTCCAGCTGTGGAAGTGATACAGAGTTGACCAAAGGTAGACAGAGAAAATGTGTGAGTGCTGGTTGTCTTTCCCGTCGTTGGCCTCGAGGCCTTTGCGACTGATTGGGTGTGTTCTGTTTGCTACTGGACATGGTAGATTTTGGGCCAGTAGAATAGCGTTTCTCTTTTCCAAGAACGAAAGATGTTCTGAAAGACCTCCAGATAAACTGGAAACGCATGCGGAAGGATCTAATTAGGTGTTCGAGTAATGGATAAGTAGATATTTGGTTTGGAATTGATGGCCCCAAAAGAATAGCTGGTCACGTTAATTCAAGGTGACGCACGGACCACCACATCTCCATCTTCGTTGACAGCAGCTGAATTACATCTAGTCATGTGGATGAAACGAAGCACTTTGTGTTTTCAATTGAATGCTTCGACTGCCTAAAAATATATGATTTTTCTCGATTCTCTTTGTATACTGGACGGGGATCTGTTGAAAAAGACTTGAGCGTCACCAGAAACCCATCGATGAATCCATGAGTCTCGTCCTCGAAATGACGATGAACGGTATCAAGACATTGAATGCATCCAGGCCGAGTGCATAGTCCGCCATGATGTACTCCACAAGATGGAAGGAGAAGACATCCAGATAAGGCACAGAAAGTCAAAGAGGAAAGGAATGGGAGAGGTAAAGCGGAGGAGTGGTGGTGGCAAGTGGTAAATTAGGATCACATTTGGAAAATCTAACAGAGTAAAGCAGACAATAGGGTCTGCTCGCAGCATTCGCTGGAGTGCAGGGAAGCTGGTAAGGACCAACCAATAGTCCGATCGAGGAAATTGGGCTAATCTGGCGGAAACTGCAGGCACCGGGGTCTGCTGTCAGCATTCGGCTGGCGTGAAGAGAAGCTGGGAGGAATCACCACGGAGGGATCATCACTCACCTAAGAAGCCGCAGACACACACACCGGGGTATTCTCTCGGCGTTCGCCGGCATATAGAGAAGCTGGTAAGGATCACATGGGGATCACTGACCCGGAAAAAGTTCGTCGATTGGACACTCGAGGCATAGAACAATCTGGCGGAAACTGCAGACCAGGGTCTGCTCTCAGCATTCGGCCTGGCGTAAAGGGGAGCTGGGAGGACTCAAACCACGAGGGTATCGTCAACTCACTTAGAAGAGGATGGTCGATAGTCTATGGACATTCGATAGGATAGGAATAACCTAAGTAGCTGCAGACACCCCGCCCGTCTGCTCTCAGCATTCGGCCTGGCGTAAAGGGAAGCTGGGAGGACTCAAAACCACGAGGGTATCGTCAACTCACCAGAAAAAGAAAGTCTGACATCAAATTCCAGGAACAATCTCCTGCAGCCGCTGCGTCAGTAGCTGGTGAGGAAACCAACTTTCAGAGGGTGGCCATCTCACCTTTGACCAGAGAAGACTTCAGTTCTCAGTCCGGAAATGTGACAAAAAGTCAGGGTGCTCCACAACCTGCATAGAAAGAAGATGTCAGTTTATGGTGGGGAATTTTGGAAGGAATGAACAAGCCATATATAAAGGTCAGACAAGAAGGTAGATGGTCGGTGGATAGCAGAGGGAGATGGAACATGGAAAGGGGGCGATGGAAGATGGGAGGGTGGGGGTGGGAGGAGCTGGGCGATATCAAGAGGACGAGATAGACACACCAACAAGTGAAAAGATGTCAACAAGGAATAATCAAAATCGCCATCCACAGCAAAATGAACATGGCCATATGAGATTAAAGAAGAAGACAGTCCTGTCAGAAGAGATCAGGGCCATGTTGAATAACAAATGAGGTTAGGAGGAGAAAAGAAATGAGGAAGAGCAGGACGACGAGGAGGAAGATGAGAATACTGAAGAGGACGAGGAGGAACATGATGGTGGGAGGAGAGCTGAAGAAAGGAGGAGAGTTGTAGAAAAGAGAAAAGGCCGGGTGGGCAGAAGGTATTTAAGCCACAGTCCAGAAAGGGAACAGGACGAGGCATCATGGCTTCCCAATTAGGAAAAGTTGCACTTTGGTGCCTACGCTACTTTGCCAAATCGGTGCCTACATACAAACAAATGACGTTAATGACAAACGATGCCTATGCTCAGCCAAACCGGAGAAAGAGAAAGAATCGACCAGGCTGGAGAGAGTGATTTGAACGGTTTCCGGGTGTCTTTGTGATTCTTGTATCTACGGTGTTCAACACGCCTCGAAATTGTTGTGGCTCAGTCGATGGGAGCCGGGGATTACCACTATAACCCTTAGTCTTTACAGTTGTAGTAGGCATTTGTCCCACCTAGGAGAGTGTTTTTGGAAGAGTATTTGGACGTCAACAGCGTCGCACTCGGGCTCAAGCTCAAATCAAGAGGAATGATAATTACATGCTGGAAGATCAAGCAATAAGCTTGGCACTGGCTAGTTACAGGGTCGAGGGAGTGTAACAGCATCAAATTCGCGATTTGTCTACGTTGAAAACGTGTTCAGGGTGCACTGACTTACCCTTACAGACTCGACACACTACGGCGAAAACAAAAATAGGCCAAAAGAGTGATGGATATAAGTTCCATATAGCACCAAGGGTATCTGACAACTTCAACAACGAGCTCGGACGCGCCGTCACGTAGATCCAACGACCTGACAAGCACTCGATCAGGCCGAGAAAAAGACCTACACAGCATCTTTCTTCCTCCCTTCGAGCACACGCATAACATCATCAGCACTATCCTTATCCCCCTTCCTCTTCTTCGGTCCTCGTTTCCTCTTGTTCCCTCCACGCTGCTGGTCCTCAAAGTCCAGCAGCGGGCCCTCATCATCATCCTCACCATCCTCGATACGACTCCCGCCAAAGCCCATATCCATATCCGCAGCGTCCATGGCGTCACGCCGGCGGGCTTCCTCGAGGAATTTCTTTTGCCGGAGGGATGCCTCTGCAGATATGTCCGAGTCACCCTCGGAAGGAGAGGCTTGACGGAGAGCCGCGGCTCGTTTGAGGGCGGCGAGGATTGTGGGGTCTTTCGTGAGAGGGTTGGAGCGGTCCTCGGGTTCCTCGGGGGCGGTGGTAGATGTGGCTGTTGCGAAGTAGTTGCGTGGTTTGGCAGACTGTGGTGCAGTAGATTCGAGAGGCTGCTGGCCTTTTTCTGGGATCGTAGCTGGGGTATGATCCTTGCCAGGTTTCTCTGGGTGCTCGCCATCCTCATCAGATGAGGAATCGTCTTCTTGCTCGATGCCGGCCAGGGGATCGTAGTCAGCGCCGACGCCGGCGAAGATATCATCGTCTTCGTCTTCAGGGGCGGCGGTAGCAGCTTCCCGTGCAGCAATGTCGGCGGGAACCTCCATTCCAAGAGGTTTAGCATCCTTGTCAGGCATGGGCAGAGAGGGAGTCCCGCGCGGCTCGTTGGGTTTATCAAGCCAGCGCACTTTGCGCTTCGTATTGCCATCGGCGTCCGTGATGAGCAGGACCTCCCGTCGACGACCGTTCTCGTCGGACTCGACGAAGCGCTTCTTCTCCGGCTTGCCGTCGCCGACCTTCTTGAACTTTGAACCAAGCGTCGACTCGGGCACCGGAGCCGGCGCTTTTGCAGCCGCCGCTCGACTAGCTTTCAACTCCCTCAGGATTTCATCGCGTGTCTTTGGTCGAGGTGGAGGTGGAGCCATTGTCCCCTTCTTTTTCTCCTTCTTCTCCTTGGGAGCTGCGACGATCTCTTCCTGGCCCTTCTCCTCTATCAACCGCTCGAATGCCTCATCTGCATCTTCCTCGGTAATCATTGGTTCTTCTGACGGGAGAGGAGCGGGCTTCTCAGCGGTTTTTGAAATGTCCTCGCCAGCGCGCACTCGTTTCAGCAACGCCCAGTCCAAGCCCTTGATCATGTGTGTGCTCTTCGTGTCTCCGCCAACTCCGAGCTCTGTGCAGAGCCTATCGAAGGTCGCCTGATCGATCTGACCCAGTTTGACCATCTCTTCGAGGGCTTTGATGCGTTTCTGCAAGTCGTCCTCATCCTCACCCTCCGTATTCCGTAGTTGTGCGCGATCTTGGTACCCGGTGGGCAATTTACTGCCTTTTGGCGCGGCAGAAGATTTGAAGCGCTTCGTGGGACGTTGATCACCCTCTCGGCGGTGCTCTGCGAGCTGCCGAGCAAAATCTACTCCAGTGACAGAGCGACTAGAGGAATGGAACGATCAGTATCAATTGCTTTGTGAACGAAGGACCTTGGAAACATACGGGGTCATGGGAATACTCGAGCGCATTCGTGAGCCCAGCATCGCACCCGGAGTAGCGCTTCCGGCTGCTACATCGCGCGGCGACGAGGCGGACTTGCCTCCAGACTTGGAAGTCGACGCAGTGTCCGCAAGAAGTCGCCGGAACTGCTCGTTATTCATTGTTGCAAGTTGGGGCTCAGCAATGGTGGTGCCGACGTCAATTTTGAGATTAAGAAGGGTCCGTCTTGGCACGCGATAAGATAAACCTTATCGCAGTCAAGGTTCGACCTGAAAGCTAAGAGCGGGGCGATGAAGAGTTGAGCTTGATTAATTCCAACCCTTGGTTCTCAGTTATACAGAGATAGAAGATATAGAAATTAACGAGTCCTTTGCCTTGGGGAAGCTTAGTTGTCCATGGACAAGACTTCAATATACCTTGCAGATGAGGCTGATCCGTTCTGTGAGAATTGGCCAGGAGCTTTTGATTCTTAAGGTAGATGTTGATTGAAGGTTCCATAGACCACGTAGCATCTTGGATGGTATTGAAAGCCATAAACCAGAATAAAGTAAAAGAATGTCGATATACACATAAAACCATGAATACATATGAAGTGAAAGGTTAAAAGGAAAAGCAACCCTTGAAATAAGGAAATGCAACGCTCAAGTCACCAACAAGAAAATGAATCCTCTAAAGCATCAGATCCGGCGCAAGCGATCCCGCTGTTCATCAATATCATTCATTAAATAGTTTCCCATCCACCATTGTTCATCTCCGATTCCAGCTTGCGACTGATCGTGGCAGGGATCGAGTGCGATAGCCATACATCGCGCAGAAGTCGGTCATACCGCTTTTGGTTTAGTATAAGTTGGCGATTACGGCGGAGGCCGGGGTCAACTTCTCCGTGGCGGTCGAGATACGGGGCATAGTGCCATGAGCCGTTGTGGTTGTGCAGGTATAGCACTGTGCACTTGCGGATGTTGATGAAGAGGCCGATGTTCTTGCCACATCTATGGGGCGAAAAAGTACAGGTTAGCTTTGAAGCACGAAGTATCGAGTGG